GCACTAGAGTCTTCTCCAAGGTTTTGTTCTGCCAGGCATGTCGTTCACATGTTTGAAAGGAGAGAGGCAGGCCAGGCCATCGCTGAAATGCTTCCAGATGATGGCTCTCCCCAGCTGGCTCCCACATTTCTGTTCTGCTCTTCCTCTGAAGACATCCGTGGGCCTTCTCCTGTTTTTCCCCCACAACAACCCTATGAGGTAGGCTGGTCAGAAAGACTATGCAGCACAAAGTTAATTTCACTTGGGTGATCTTATGCTTGGGCTGCCCCTGCCTGCTGGCTGGTACACGCGGTCTATTTAGATATTTGGGAGCCCCAAGCAGCTAAAAAAACCTTATATCCCCCTCCTCCATTTTATCCTCAACAACCCTGTGAGGAAGGTTGGTAGTGGAAAGTGCCATCAAGTCACAGCTGACTTATGTAGGGCTGTCAAGGCCAGAGATGTTCAGAGGGGGTTCGCCATTGCCTGCCTCTGCATCATGACCCTGGTATTCCTTGGAGGTCTCCCATCCAAATGCTAGCCAGGGCTGACCCTACTTAGCCAGTTTGGTGTAGTGGTGAAGTGCGCGGACTCTAATCTGGGAGAACCGGGTTTGGTTCCCCACTCCTCCACTTGCACCTGGCTGGATGACCTTGGGCAAGCCATAGTTCTGATGATAAGAGCTGTTCTCTCATGAGCAGTTCTTGAAAGAGCTCTCTCAGCCCCACCTACCTCACAGGGTGTCTGTTGTGAGGAGGGGAAGGGAAAGGCCGCTCTGAGACTCCTTTGGGTAGTGAAGGGCGGGGTATAAATCCAATCTCTTCTTCTTCTTCTGAGAACTGACAAGATCACTCTAGCCTGGGATACAGTCTGTCCCTCTAACAATGCTGGCTCTCCAGAGGGGAAGTGGGCAGCCAATGAGCCTAGTAGCACCTTAAAAACCAACAGCATTTCCCAGGGCATAAGCTTTTGCGAATCAAAGCTCATTACATCAGATACAGTGTGGTGTGTTGGCTAGAATGATGGACCAGGTTGTGGGAGCCACAGGTTCGATTAGCCTTGAACACATGAAACTGCCTTATACTGAGATCCTCATCAGAGACCCATCCTTCAAAATCAGTACTGTCTACTCAGACTGGCAGCAGCTCTCCAGGGTCTCAGGCAGAGGTCTTCCACAGCACCTACTGCCAGATCCTTTTTTAACTGGAGATGCCGGGGATTGAACCTGGGCCCTTCTGCATGCCCAGCAGAGGCTCTTCCACTGAGCCAACGCTCTTCATGGAAGACTGCCAGGTGACCTTGGGCCAGTCACACACTGTCAGCCTAACTTACCTCACAGGGTTGTTCTGATCTTGCATGATATTTTATGGCTTTTGTACTGTTTTAATTTTGTTTTAAATTGGTTTTGTTACTGTACATTATATTGACATTGATGGAACCCACGCTGAGCCTTGAAGGGCTGTCATCTAGAGGATGGTGTGGAGTTGTTTTCTGTTGCCCCAGAAGGTCGGACCAGAGCCAACGGGCTGAAATTAAATCAGAAGAGTTTTTGGCTAAACATGAGGAAGAACTTCCTGACAGAGCGGTTCCTCAGTGGAACAGGCTTCCTTGGGAGGTGGTGGGCTCTCCTCCTTTGGAGGTTTTCAAGCAGAGGCTAGAGGGCCATCTGACAGCAATGCTGATTCTGTGAACTTAGGCAGATCGCGAGAAGGGAGGGCAGGAAGGGCTGCATCAGTGCTTAGTACCTGTGGCCTTTTTTATACACCCAGGGAAATGCTGATTTCCACTTTGGGATCAGGATGCAAATCCTGGAGGGTTTTTTGTCATCTTCTGGGCATGGAACAGGGGTCACTGGGGGTATGGAGGGGGAGGTATTTGTAGATTTCCTGCATTGTGCAGGGGGTTGGACTAGATGACCCTGAAGGTCCCTTCCAACTCTATGATTCTATGCTGGCGGGGAGGGTGGGATGCAAGTCTAATTTAAAAAAATTAAACCAGAGACTAATGACAGACTTCTAAAGATTTAAAATTTGATTTTAACCCTTTACACCTAGAAGCAGCAGCAGTAGCAGCTGCCAAAAACTTTGCAACTGCTGCTGTACAATCATGGTCTACATCCGAAATGGAATCTGGCAAGTTGTTACCGTGCACCAAAACCCTTCTCTGGCTCCACTGCTCTCTCTCTCTCGCTCTCTTTTAGCAAGGGGCACTCCACCACTCTGTGTGAAATGGTATCGATAATGCCAGAACCACGTTGACGAAATCTATCTGAAAAGAGGATACTGAAAAAACCTGCCATAATAACTCATAGGAGGGAAGGCATTTAAATGTGCGAACGTAAATGCTTGACACTCTGAGGGAACAGGCAGGGCGGATGAACAATGAGCGGGTTCTCCCACTGGACTAATTTCAAGTCCTATGGGGGCGCAAACCCGCCTTCCTCTACTCCAGGTTGAAATAAAACCGAACTCGGTTTCCCTTTCCTTTCTCCAATAAAAGCTCTATAACTCAACGCCCTGGGCAGTATAACAATCTGAAATTTCATTTATAATCTTAATTTCCCAAAAGACAAAAGGAATAACTTTTTTTTAAAACGCTGAAGGTTATGTTAGGATTTTGATCTAAGAGTAGGAAGAGGACCACCCTGCTTGGATTTTAATATCACTGAAATTCACCAGCCAGAGTCGAATGAAAGGGCGTCTTCGATTAGAATGCAGAGGGCATTCCAATAAAATATGAGAGCTTGGATCTGTTTTACCAAGAGAGCAAGAGCAAATTCTATCAGAGTGAGGAAGATGCAACAAGCCACTTCTCCTAACCACCGCTGAATGGGCATTCATTCTAGCAAGAGTAAAAGCTCCGAGTAGACCAGGTGAGGTCAGGTGATAAGTATAGGAGGGAAGAGAAAGGGGGGGTATTTAAAACCCCCATAAAGAACAAACTTGTTGAGCCCGAAGAACGGAATCAATCTGCCTAATCCGTTTTTTAGTTGCAATTGCTGATTCAGCGAGCCCCAATTCCGTGACTGATTCAGTGTTAAGAGACCCAGTTCCTTGATAGATTCAGTGATGAGTGCTGACCCCCAGAAAATAGGAGCAAATGATCCCTTTTATCACTCCTACAACTTTCAAATGAGCTTTCCCCGTGTCTGTCCCAATTTAGATCAGTTTGGTGTAGTGGTTAAGTGCACGGACTCTGATCTGGGAGAACCAGGTTTGAGTCCTCCACTTGCAGCTGCTGGATGACCTTGGGCAAGCCATAGTTCTGACAAGGGGCAGTCCTCGAAAGAGCTCTCTCACAAGGTGTCTGTGAGGGAAAGGAGTTTGTAAGCCGCTCTGAGACTCCGAGTGAAGGGCAGGGTATAAATCCAATCTCCTCCTCCTCCTCTTCTTTGGAACCAAACACTTGTAGATTTTTACCTAGCATCCAGGGAGTGTTGGTATTAGAATGGGCCAAGTCCTTGGCTTTAGAATAATCTACCTCAAAGGCCTGGTGACCACAACAAAGCAAAAAAGGCTCTCATTAAGTTCCCAAGGCCAGCTCTAGTTCTAGAGAGCAAAAGAGCGTCTTCGGTGTATAACAAAATCGCAATGGGCTGCCTAGCTCAGATGGGAGGGCAAAACTGGGGTCCCTGGAGGGTGCAGAGGGTAGGTCCTCTAGATCGAAACTAAAAAGTAAAGGAGCCAACAGACAGCCTTGCTTAACACCCTTGGTCTCCGGGATAACTAAACTGCCCCTTCTTTGTAGCACCTCCCAGTTGACAATGCGAAAACTTTTGCAGCTCTTTAAGGCGCTACTGGAATGGTTGCCAACACCCAGGTGGGGCCTGGAGAACCTCCAGAATTACAACTGATCTCTGGTGAAAATGGCAACTTTGGCTCAAAGTGGATTTTGTGGCATTATAACTTGCGGATCAGTCGTAATTCCAGGAGATCTCTCTAGGCGCCATCTGGGTAGGATAATAGTTTTTTCCCTTGCAACCAAGCACGTTGCGACGTTCATAAGCAGAGCTTTCGCCACTCTCCAAAGTGTGCGTGTGTGTGTGGAAGTGAGATTTCCACCGGCTGCTCCGCAGACTCGCGAGGTTCTCACCGTGAGTAGCCAAACCAGGTTTACAGTAACACTACTGGGGGGAGAGGTGGAATTGATAGTTGCAGAGCCGATTGTGCAAAACCAGACGGACGCGGCGCCTTTTTGCGTAACGCAAACTCCGTGTCGCAAACTGGGGGCGTTCGTTGGCTGCGCGTCCAACTTTCCCCGAGGCTGTTTTCACACGGACTTAGTCGCACAAAGACAACTGGATCGAAGCTCCACGTCCGCGTCGGGCCGCCCGAGACAAGAACGCTCTCTGGCCTTTGCACCGAACACGGGCGCTGGAAGTCTCTCTGCCTCGCCAGCGTCACGTGTGAACACAACGTTAGGCGTGTTCCGGGAGGCGCAGCGCCTGTTTACTCTCCCAGTCCGCCGCGATTCAATCGGAGGCAGCCTTAAAACCCGCCGAGCCGCCCGTCCGCCGCGTTCAGCCAGCCCGCGAAGAAGCCGTCGTCGCTGCCAGTCGCCCGCTCCTCTGGCGGCTTCTCGGATCGGCTCCCCTGGGGACGAAAGCGTGGCAGCCTCGGCATTGGGGTCACGTGGAGCTGCCCGCGCCCGCCCCCCTCCCCCCGTCCGGGGCATTGCGAGAAAGTCCGGGAGGGGAGAGCCGGGAAGTTGCGACAGCCCTGGGAGAAGTTGGGCTTCCTTTTCTTGCTCTCGGGCTGCGACTCGTGCCAGGCAGAGCCCGCTTGGCAGCCCCCCGGGCGCCCACTGGAGCGAGGCTGATTCTCCCAGGGAGGCGAATCGGCTGTGGAGGGAGGAGGGAGGGAGCCTGCAGCGGCCCGGAGCCGCTCCGCGGAGGAGAGGGAGCGGGAGCACGAGCGCGCACGCCCCGGGCAGAAGAGGCTCCGCGGAAACAACAAGTTTCCTTCCGAAGGAGTTTTGCAGCCCCGCGAAGAAGACCCGGGCCGCGGGGAATGCCTTTTTTTCGAAGACCGCCCTCCACGTGAGTTGCTTTCTTCCCCAGCGTTTTTAGGGCCTCTCGGGAACTTGTGGCGAAGAAGGGGTTGCAGCTTCAATGGCCCGCCTGCGTCCGTGGGTGCCAGCCTCCAGGTGGGACCTGGGGATCCCCTGGAACTGCAGCTGTTGTCCAAGCTGCGGAGATCAGTTAGTTTCCCTGGAGGAAAGGACTGCGACGGAGGGTGGTCTTTCTACGGCGCTGTGCCCCCCACTGAGGTCCCAGACTGTCCTCCCCGGGCTCCACCCCCGCATCTCCAGGCGTTTCCCAACCTGGGTCTGGCGACGCTGGGTTCTCTCCCCCACAAACATTGGGGTCAGTGTCAGGGCGCAGCAGGGTGTCTGCAGATGCAACGGAGACCTGACGAGCGCGTTGAAATGCGCGAGCTGGGGAGGGTCAGACTGCGAAGCTGGCGCCTGGACAGTGGCGCAAACTGCGCAACTCTGTGCAAGCGCGCCGCACCGCACAGGGTGGTTTTGCAAAGCGGTTGCACAACCGTCTGGAGGGAATAAGCCGGCGGTGCGACGTGACTTAACGGAGAGGCTCGCCCGAGGAGTTCAGGGCCTCTCTCGAGACTACAACGTGGGCGATTGATGCGGAAGGTCTGGGCAAGTGAACGGTAGAATGCGAGTGTCTTCCGCGCGGGGACATACAGGGATGGTTTTCTCTGTTGCTGCTGTAGTAGGTAGAGCGCAGTGGCAAAAGGGGCTTCCTCATGGTAAATTTTCTCCATTAGAACCTAAGAAGAGCCCCGCTGGACCAGACCAATGGTCCATCTAGTCCAGCGTCCTACCTCACACAGTGGCCATTGTCCTCTGGAGGACCAACAACAGGGTAGGGGGGGTGAAGTCTTCCTCCTCTTGACACTGGGATTCTGAAATGTACTGAGCGAGAGGCAGTGAATTCAGCTCATGCATTTAATAAAGGTTCGGAACAAGGCAAGAAACCCCGGCTCGCAGGCCGGCTTTTATTTGCAGTACACCCACGCCCATGACACACACCCACAACCGTGATAGGGTATTTACAGTGGCTGAGAGTTCCATGGGTCCTGGCTAGGACCCTAGCCCTCCGATTGGTGTTAGCTACGATCCGCTTGGTCCATTGTCTCTCGGACCGAAGCTCGGAGGCTTCGCATGACCGCGTGGCGAGCTAGCCTCGCGAGCGGTTGGAGATGAATACATTACAGATTCAGAGGTTGAGTCCCTCTAAACATGGAGGTTCCCTTTAGTCACCATGGCTAGTACCCGCTGATAGACTTCTATCCTCCATGAATCTATCTAATCCCCTTTTAAAGCTGTCTGTTCCTGTGGCCATCACTACCACCCTCTGGCAGCGAATCCTGCATTTTAATCACTCCCTGTGTCATGTAGTGTTTCCTTTTGTCTGTCCTGCATCTACTGCCCATCAGCTTCATTGGATGCCCTCTAGTATTTGGGGAGAGGGAGAAAATGTTCTCTGTGTCAACTCTCTCTGCCCCATGAATAATTTTATAAATTGTTATAAAACTTTCCCTGTTTCGGTTTCCCCAGTTGTGCCACTACCAGGGCCTTTGTAGCTTTCAAAAACCAGCAATTTAATGTTGTTGACCTATCAATATAATATTATAAGATTATGTGTAATTGGTTCTCTGAACTCCCAGGTTTCATTTTGTTGAAAAGTCCTCTTTCATCATGAAGTGTGTCTGCAGCAAAAAGCACTAGACTTTACCCCGTTTCCTTCCTTTAAAAAAAACAACAAAGAAAACTGGGATGACTGCGAAACTTCTTATAATGTCACGGTGATATAAAGGTATTCAGTTGCCCTTTAACTCCCTTCCTCGTGAGAGAGGAGAGGAAATGGCTAATATGGGGAAATCACAGTGTGGGCAGGACTAGGGAAATCCAAACTTTCGCAGCCGTTTGGGAGCTTTCCAGAGTTTGGTCTCTTCCAAAAAATGTTCAGCAAAGCAGGTTTTGGAAGGGTCGTGGGAAAGCCAGGGAAGTGCTCTCTGTCCTTAGCCTTTTGTTTTTAACTGTTTTAACTATTTATTGCGAAATGTTTTTATTCCTGTTGTGGGCTTGTTCTTGTGATCCGCTCTGAACCCGCTGGTGTGGGGTGTGTGAGAATCAGTGCTCCCTCTAAGCCGTGGAGTCTTGTGAGCAAAAATTCTCCTTTGTGAGCTACATCCATATCGCCAATTTGACAATCCCAGTTTTTAGGAGGGTCTTTATGCTTGCAAGGTTTAACCTTTTCCCTTCAGTAGTGGTCTCAGGTAGATACAGGGGTGTTCCGTATAAGGATAGACTTTGCAACTGTGATTTTGGGGGACCTGATTCTGTCACCCGTATTCTTTTTCGTTGTCCTAAATATTCCGTTATGCGCAATATTTTGATTCGCCCTCTTCTCCCTTCGCAGAGAGACTTTCTGGATAGGGATTTAAATTTCTTTCTAGCAGACAAGAGCCCAGCAATAACGCTATCTGTTGCAGAATTTCTGACCCATGTATGGAAGTCAAGAGTAATATCCTGTAAACCTTGTAAACCATGCTAGGATTGCCTTGTATTTTGAGATATTGGGAATATTGGTTGATGTTGCTCCTTGTACCTACCCTTTAACTTTTTCCTTTGTTTGATTTATCTATGTTATGCCGAATAAAGGTTTTCTGTTTCTTCTTCTGACAAAAATGTGTGACCCGGAGGCTAAAAAACTGTGAGCTAGCTCACACTAACTCAGCTTAGAGGGAACACTGGGTGGGACACAAGCAGAAATAAATACATAAGTGCGCAAATGTGCCATAGTGGTGTGGGAAAGTGGGGGGGGGGGAGGAGAGGAAGCCTGCTTCCCCACAGCATTCAACCTGGGGGAGATAATCTGGGTGGAAATGGCCTTAATACAAGGTATGTCCACATCCATATTGCACTGTTTAGTATACGGTTAGACAAATCCAGTGTCCTTCCGTTTGATTTGGAGGGGAAAGGACAAATTTCTAGGGGATGAAATAGGAGAAAGGACAGTGATTCTGTCCTGGGTCTTGTCTTGTTGAGGCCGGTTCCTTCTCAGAGAGCAAGGTGAAGGTGTAGATGTTATGGATCTCCTCCCACATCCACTGTAGGGGAGGACTGGCCTTGGCGAGGAGAGCCTCTTACTCTGGTCGTGTTATAAGAAGGCAGGAGCCACTGGGGAAGGCGATAATGCCAGGAGGACCTGAAGGGAGCAGGAAAAGAAGAAGACCCAGCGTGAGATGGATGGGTTCAACAAAGGAAGTCACGGCCCTCCGTTTGCAAGACCTGAGCAAGGCTGTCAATGTCCGGACCTTTTTAGAGGGCATTAATTGATAGGGTCGCCAGAATCATAGAATCATGGAGTTGGAAGGGACCTCCAGGGTCATCTAGTCCAACCCCCTGCACAGGGCGGTAAATTCACACATACCTCCCCCTCCAGACCCGCAGTGACCGCTGTTCCACGCCCAGAAGATGACAAAAAAAAACCCCTCCAGGATTGCAGAAAACAACTCTGCACCATCCTCTATAGGACAGCCCTTCAAGTACTTGAAGATGGTTATCATATCACCTCTCAGTCATCTCCTCTCCAAACTAAACATACCCAGCTCCTTCAGCCTTTCCTCACAGGACTTGGTCTCCAGACCCCTCACCACCTTCATTGCCCTCCTCTGGACACATTCCAGCTTGTCTATATCCTTCTTAAATTGTAGTGCCCAGAACCGTACACAATACTCTAAAGGTAAAGGTAAAGGTTCCCTTGCTCGAAAGCCAGTCGAGTCCGACTCTAGGGTTGCAGTGCTCATCTCCATTTCAAAGCCGAAGAGTCAGCGCTGTCTGAAGACGTTTCCGTGGTCATGTGGCCGGCATGACTAAACACCAAGGCGCACGGAACGCTGTTACCTTCCCACCAAAGTGGTACCTATTTATCTACTTGCAATACTCTAGGTGAGGTCTAAACAGCGCAGAGCAAAGTGGTACCATCACATCTTGAGATCTGGACACTATAGAAGTGACTTGAGGGCACTTAACACACACACACAGAGGAGAGCTCTAGTTTATAGGCTGCACTCCTTGGGAAATACCTGGCGATTTTGGGGGTGGAGCCTGAGGAGGATGGGGTTTGGGGGGGAAGTGACCTCATCAGGGCACAGTGCCATAGAGTTCATCTTCCAAAGCAGTCATTTTCTCCAGGTGAACCAGTTGCAATAGTGGGACATCTCCAGCCACCACCTGGAGGCTGGCAACCCTACCTGCCGGCTGCTCTTTGCAAGACCTTAGCTAACCTAGCAGCTCATATTTAGCAAAGCCTTTCTTAATTCACATGTCGAGAAGCTGAATCTCAGGAACCCGTCAATTTTGTGTAGTGGTTAGGAACGGCAGACTCTAATCTGGAGAACCGGTCCGGGTTTGATTCCTCACTCCTCCTTCAGCTGGCTGACCTTGGGTCAGTTACCATTTTCTCAGAGCTCTCTCAGCCCCACCTGCCTGTTGTGGGGAGAGGAAGGGAAGAAGAAGAGATTGGATGTATACCCCGCCCTTCACTTGGAGTCTCAGAGCAGTTATAATCTCAATTCCCTCCCTCTCCCCAGAATAGACACCCTGTGAGGTAGGTGGGGCTGAGAGAGCTCTATCGAGGACTGCTCTTGAGAGAACAGCTCTGAAAGAACCTGTAACTGACCCAAGGTCACACCAGCAGCTGCATGTGGAGTGGGGAATCAAACCCAGTTCACCAGGTAACAGTCTGCTGCTCCTAACCATTACACCAAGCTGGGAAGGCGATTGTAAGCCACTCTGAGAGTCTTTCAGGTAGTGAAAAACGGTATAAAAACCAACTCTCCTCCTCCTTGTTATTGCAGGGAACTTTATTTTCTGTTCTGCGACGTTCAGATAGGTCTTAATTGCAGACCTTGGGAAGGTGGGCTGTCCGCCAGGCTTCATGATGGAGCTGGCGGAGAGGCGAGTGATTGACAAAAAGACCATCGCCTTTTCTTAGCATAAATGACCCTT